CTTGGTGCCCGGGCCTCCCGCGAGCCGAGACACCCCCGTCAGGGAAGAGGAGCGCGGCGGCTGCCCCCCGAGGGTCTCTTGCTGGGGGGACATCGCTTCCATGAAGAAAATCTTCAAGTAAGTCCCAGCTCAGGAGGCGGCTACGCGGTCATGTCCGCGGGCGGACGGCCGGAGGGGCGAGGACGCACTCGAGCTGGGAGCCGAGCTCCGGGTGCGGGCGGGCGACGCGCCTCCCGTCGGGGCCATGTACCGCCGCGCAGCACCGCGCCGCGCTCGGCACCACGAGCTGGAGGCGACTGCAGCGCAACCGCCAGTCAGCGCCGCGGAGGCCCCGCCCCCTCCCGCCCCGCGGGCCCCGCCCCCTTCGCCCCCGCGGGTCCCGCCCCCCCGCGCGGACGCCCGCGCCGGCCCCGCCCCCCGCTCTGCTCGCTTGGCCTTTCCCCAGCCACTATTTTCAATTGACGTCCAAAGTGCTGTCATTTTCCTTCCTTCCCTCCGTGTCCACAAACACACAGGCGTGCACATTCAAGGTATTGCAGAGCAGAATCGTGACATTAGACCACACAGAGGTTTGTTGGACTTCATGCTTTTCTCCGTACTGGATGTAAGAAGTCTTGGTCATCTACACTTACTCCTATCGAAAATGAGAATTGACTGAATCACAGACGGATCATAGAGGGATAGTTCTGTTTTCCTGGGATAAATAGGTATGTACTGAGTGAGGGGAAAGGCGGAGGATAGAAGCTTTAGAGGAGGGGCTGGGGAGATGGCTCGTGGAATAAGCGCTTCCCTGGCAAGCATAAGGGCCTGAGTTCAATCCCCGGTTCCACAAAAAAAAGAAGCAATTTTAGAGGAATGTATCATACGTAAGAGCGAGAAGGAGGAAATTTGGGGGGTTTTGTTTGAAGCAATTAAAAAAAAAATCAGCTGTAGGTACCAAAGGATGAAAGGAGCATGATTTAGACTGGTTCTCAAGCATTAACACCACCTGAGGAGTCTTTTTGTCCAGAGAGTCTGATTTAATTGTTTGGGGTTATAGCCTGAAGATCATGACTTTTAAACGTGGGGATGGAATGAAGACTGGAGACAGGAAAAGGAATGTTGTGGGACTGTCCTGCTTCAAGGTTGTATAGGGTGAGATTTCTGGACTTATGTGTAAACAAAAGAATTATATAATTCTTTGTGCCTATTTTTAAAATATATTCTAATTTTTAAATGTTTTTTCATCATATTCTGTAGGGACTTAAAGTTCAACATATCAATACTTGATGAAAAATACCTGTTCCATGTTATGCCTAAAATGTTTGATATTCAGACAGATAGTGAGGTTAAGCTTAACAGCCTAGGTTGTATGGTAATAACAATAGCTTGTCTTCTGGAGGGTTAACAACCTAAGTTTGCAGACCAAAATTAGAGAAAAAGGAGGGCTGCAAGGAAAGCCAACATTTTGGCCCTAGCCTTCCAAGGTCAATTAAGACTCAGGACATATGAGAACTTGTACTGTAACATCATGTATCTCGGTAGTGTCCCAAATTTTCTGATCAAGGAGATTATGGGGCCAAAGAGGAAAGTGATCGATGATGTAGAGTGTGCCTAAGGAGAGTCACATGGAGAGAAAACATTCTCTCAGGCTTTCACAGAGAGCACATTGGCCAAGCAATGGCCGTGACTCATCCACATGGCTGACACTGACAAAGGTTCTACAATCTGAGGTACAGGATCTCAGGATAAATTCTGAGCGGATTTCACTGACCTTATCAGACCCAAAAGCTACAACTCTTGTTGCACAGGTCCTGCTTTACCTTGGTCTTAACCATCCAGCAGAAAAGTATAAAAACGAAATATAAGAAGTAAAGCCATGGTGTTATGTTGAGCTGTAGGGGACTCAGGTCAACAATTTCTGACATTGCCAGTGAAGCAGAAGCCCCAATACTATTATGGACTATTGGACGCTTTTAGAACATTTTGCTGAGTTAACACACCTATAATATTCAAATAACGGAACTAAACAAAAAAAGGGGATACAGATGAATGTCCATTTTGTATCTGTATATTTTAAATGGTTAGGATAAATATATAGTTGCATTCTCTTAATGAATAGAGGGATTTGTTCTAATAGTGTTTGTAAATAGGATATCATGTCCACATCTTGTACAGCAAATAACCACTATGAAGAATGTATGCAATGTGTTAATTATTGAAACTGTCCTACCAATTTGGTTTGAAACTGTCTCATTGCTATTTGTTTATCAATAAAATTATGGAAAAAAATAAACGTGGGAACATAAAGAAGCCTTGCAGGGGCATACACAAAACATCCCTGGCAACTGGGGTGGTGGTGGTAGTTGTTAGGAGAAAGAGCCTGTAGATTACAAACAGCAGGCAGGTAAGAGATAAATCAAAGTAAATCAGTAATACAGAAACCATGGTAAAAAAGTGGGGGCTGATCACCAAATTAATTTAAAGTAATGTGGGATACCAGGGTTATAGCTCAGTGGTGCAGCACCTGCCTGGAAAACAAGAGGTCCTGTGTTCAATTCCCAGTACCCACACAAAAAATAAAAAGAAAAACCTAATACAGAATAATTAAGCTATTGCAACAAGGCACAAGGCAAATACAGTTGGATATTACTATAAAGATTAAAAAGTACTAAAACATTCCAAGGTCAAAGCGGTAAAAAGAAAAAGAAGACTGTTTTCTCTCAAGCATAGCATCAGTAGTGACTAAAATAGGTAATTGTAGGGTTTTTAACTATGACAGATTTTTATTAATGTGTTAGAGTTTTTCTTAGTGTTCTTTATCCCCAGAATAAAACCTTCAAGACTCTTTTAGGAAGTACTTGAGGAAAAATGTTTTATTTAAATTTGTTAATGCCTTCTAACTGACTTGTTTACTTTTATAAAATTCGAGGAAAATTAAATTTTTTAGTCATTTTTATACATCCATCTACAAATACATACAAGTGTTCGTCCATTATAGCTGTGTAGCAAATAATGGAGAGGTATTACTCCAGTACCAATAGTAGTAATTTCTGGGTCATGAACTTAAAGTACTTTTAAAACTTAAGTTTTCTGGATTGCTTAATACCTTATATTAGGATGTATCATCTAAGGTAGAATAACTAATGGTCAACTTATAACACCCAGCTGAATTGAATCAGCTTGGTGCTGGGTGTGGAAGGTTCATCTGAAGATTGCTGCCAACAGCATAAAAGGAGAACAGGAGGGGAAGACAGTGTGCTGGTGATCCTCCTGGAGAGGCTTGTTATGCTGGCTTTCCTGATAGGAACTCAGATGTTCTCATCATTGGAGGAGTTCCGGGCTTCGTTGTTGCTCAGGATGGCTGTGGTTCTCTTCTGGGGTGCTCTGGTCCTTCCTTTGAGCATTGTTGCTTGGCTCCAGTGAAGATCCCTCCGCCTGCTGGCACATTCTGCCGGCACAGACCTTCTAGGGCCCACCACTGGTCTTTGGGCCTTCCCAGCACAGATCCTTGAAAGAGAGTTGCATGAGACGTTATCATGAGTGCTAGGCCCCCAGCTGGACTTGTGGAGCACATTGCCACTGGCTCTAGGTCGTCAGCCAGACTGTGCAGCACATTGCCGTGGGGACCCAGGCCCAGCTTGATTCTTTGGGTCTCTAGTGTCGGTCAGATCTTCCATACTCTTTTGCATTTGACTCTTGGGGTGAATATCATAAAATAATTCCATAAATTATGTGCCCTGTGTTAAATCTGTTCCCTTGCAAAATCCTATTATAATATCATCTATACAGAAAGAATAGACTGATCTTTCTTCAAAATGTAGAAAAATAGAATATTAATATTAACTGAAATATTCATAGCAACTTAGTCTATGTAGGATATTTCCGTTTTCTTTTTACTTCACACATTTTTCCTGTTTCTAAAAGTGGTAGCAAAAGATCTTGTAAGGAAATCATCTTAGGAAATTTATTTCATTAAAAAAATTTGCCAGTAGGTAGTTTGCCTAACTTCTCTTCAGAATAAAGTTTAAGATGAAATTTGCATTAGAAACCTTGATTTTAGTAGTGCAATATTTTTTTCTTATTTTTGTTTTATTTCCTTCGCAATTATGCAACAAGTTTTGTTTCTGGTTGTTGCATTTCAGAAAATGTCCATCTTCAGTAATGTCAACTAGTACTTTCATACTTTCACAAAATAATCAAGTTTTGCCCGGTAGGTTAATTCCACCGCAACTATTTCACTTAAAAGAGTTTTACACAGGTTAAGTAACTACTCAAAATCTCTTTTCTGTTGGAATTTGTCACAAGAAATATGAGAAGAACTTCACATGATGTAAATATGAAAATCTATTATTAATGCCTTTATATTGCTTTTAGAAGCAAAAACCTTTATAACAAAGGAGATATTTTCAAACATTGATTTTATAAACAGTCTCCATAGCATGTTTTATTCACCTAGCAGACACTTTATTCTTAACTTTTTAAATGACAGTTTAACTTTTTAAAAATAATGCATGTGAAGACTGGGCATGGTGGTACACGCCTGTAATCCCAGCACTTGGGGGGCTGATAAAAGGAGTCACTACGATTCTGAAAACCCGTACACCCTGTGCACGCTGTTCTAAATATAGGGGAAAAAATAATGCATGTGAGTTGGGCCAGAGTGGGTGTCATGTGGCCCGTTTGTTGATGCATACAACACACGGACAATTTCCATCCTTCTACCATTGCCCTTCCCTCTCCGAACCTCTTATTCTGTTCCTCCTTTCTCTGCCTCTCTTCTACTTTCATGCCTTCCTGCTTTCTTTTAGATTTCACACATGTGACATTTGACTTGCTGACTCTTGCTTAATTGTTTAAGGTGCTACTCTCTGATTCTAATAACTTATGTGTGAATGACACAATTTAATTCTTTCTGGATGAATAAAACTCCGGTGTGTCTAAATAGCACTTTTTCTGTATCCCTTCCTCAGCTGACAGGCACGTATGCTGTTTCCCTAGAACAGCTACTGTGAACTGCCTACAGAAATGTGGGTACATTAGTGTTTCATGCACACTATGCCAGCTTTAGTTCTTTAGGGAATAAACCCAGAAGTGCCATCTTAAGCTTAAAGGAAGAGATTTTATTAGTATTAATTATATTATCTTCCAAGGTGACATTTCTACTGGAAGACACTCCTATTGTAGAATAAATTGTTCAGTAAGTTTGTCACTTTATAAAAGAAATAAATGGATAATTAAAAAT